AAGACGGTACGGGAGTGTACAGGTGCGATGGGGGATAAAGCTAGCATATGGGAATGATATCGAGGCAATATAAGTGTGATCGGGAGTCCGCAGCAAATGAGACGGAAAGGGGGGAAGTGATGGAAACGGGGGAGGACGCGTGACAGGCCTCATTTCAACAGTGCTTACCTTTGTTTGTTGTCGTGTCCAAGCCTTGTCCTCCTGAGCGCTTTTCACTGGGGTTTTTCGCTTGCTTTTTGCACTCAGGATTCCGTGTTTGTGTCTCCCAATAGCTGTGGGACATATCTAGGTACATTGTGACGGCAGATGTCCCTGAATGAAAAGACATAGCGGCCGTCGGCCGAAGGGCCGGAAATCCGAAGGCTCCGAAACAGCCTGAAAACTGTCGCATAAATCTCCAATAAATTTCCCTGTGCTGTAAATAACTGCCGGGGGCTGAGACCGCCATCGGGTAAGTCCGGACACCATGTCACCAATGTTGAGAGGCTTGTCGGCGGGACATGGCAACAAACAAAGGTAAGCACATCACGAGCAGCTATATTTTTGGAAAGGCGTACAAACTTTTGAAACCAGCTGTATCAAACCAAGTGTGAAGGGAATTATTATCACTGGCAATGAGACCAAGAAGCATTCATTAGGGTCGTTCACAGTTCCCTTTTTTCTTCCCTTTTTTTCTCCCTTTTTTTCCTAGATCTCAAGTTTGGCTCGGTTTTTGGCTGGGATTTTTTCCCTTTTCAACTCAGAGGTGTAAAAAGGGTTGAAAAGGGAAAAAAAAACCGAGCAAAAGCTCAAAGAGGATGAAATGGCAGAAAAAAGGGAGGGAAAAAGGGAAGAAAAGGGACGAAAAAAGGGAACTGTGAAACCCCCGGTCTACGACTCCCTTTTTCCGGCCCATTTTGCTCTCCTTTTTCCTTCTCAAGTACTTAGATTGGGTGTAGCGTGGCATGACTTCCAAGTTTACGCCCATACTACAGTAGCACAAGTGCCCGGAACAAACCGATCAGATGATCGATTACATAACAGTGATAACACTGATTATCACCGTCCTTGTATCCTTCTCCGCCTCCGAGTGCTCGAGCTTTCCAACTATCCATAGGACCCCGGGCAGAAATTCTACATGATCTCGAAAATCATCATCGTCAAACAGAGAATCCTCAATACCCTGCTGCAGTGTTTCGAGTAGAAGAGGGCCCCAGCAACTACGAAAGAGGGAGCGAAAAAGGGCACAAAAAGGGAAGAAAAAAGGTAGCGAAAAAGGGAAACAAAAGGGAACCGTGAACGACCTTATTCCTCGGTTCGGATGCTGGGATGTGACACCGCAGTGACACTGTTCTTGAAGATAGTTTATAAAGAAGGCAGGTGTGCCCCGGATCCGAGGTCCCATCCTAGGAGCCTGTCGTACCAAAAGTAAACTGTCAGTAGACAGGCTGGTTTGAATCCGGGACACCAAGGACAAAGATCCCGTTGTCAGATCAAAGACGGCTTCGGCTAGGCTCGTGACCATCCGCTTCGCTTACGTAGTTGCGCTGCCGGAGCGAAGCAGCTGGGACATTTGGGTCCCGATTTGGGTGGACCTCACTGGTTGAACATTTCGAGTTTTTCACTGAAAAAATTGGTGAAAAACTGTGCCGGTTTTTCACACATTTTTCACTGAATAAATAGGTGAAAATTTCAAGTAATTTTCAGTACTTTTTGCACTTGAAACCAAGGTGAACAATGCGAAATAATATTCATGATATTTCCTGTAAGAATAACAAGCAAAAACACACTGCGGCGCTTGAAACCAGGCAAAGCGGAGTGAATTTGCAAGAGTTGGTCGATATTCGGCAAACAAACTTGGCAAAGCAGAGTGAATTCGCGAGAGTTGGTTGAAACCCAGCAAAAACACACTGTGGCGCTTGATACTGAGCAAAGCAGAGTGAATTTGCAAGAGTTGGTCGAAACGGGGCAAAAGCGCACCGCAGCGCTTGACACTGGGCAAAGCGGAGTCTCGGGAATCCACTCTGCTTTGCCGAATGTCAAGCAGGAATCAAGCGCTTTTGCCGAGTTTCCACCAACTCTAGATCTCGCAAACCCACTCCGCTTTGCTGAGTTTCAAGTAGACCAGTGACTGTCTGTCTATGAACCTGTTGACCAACTCTCGTGAATCCACTCTGCTTTGCCGAGTTTCAGCAGGAATCACCACAGCCGTGCGTTTCGACCAATTCTCGTGAATCCACTGCGCTTTGGCGAGTTTCAGCAGGAATGTCAGCACAGCGGCTCGTCGGGTTCTCGAAACGCGACTGAGGCGACTGGACGAGGGAAAAGCAGAGTGAAAGGGACAAGCAAACAAGCAGCTGGAGTATAGACCAGAATAGTATAGAGAATAGTAGAATAGTACAGGGTTTATATACAAGTGCCAAGGGATTTATAGGGGACTAGGGGGTTTGGTGTCTGTGGTAACAGGACACATAGGGTTATGCGCAATATTAATACCGATTGTTGTTCCTACGATCGGGATGTGGAGGGTTTGAGTCCGGAATAACGGAGTTGAACTCCGGGATATCGGAAAAGAATTCCGGATCATGACAAGGAATCACCACAGCCATGCGTTTCAACCAACTCTCGTGAATCCACCCCGCTTTGCCGAGTTTCAGCAGGAATCACCACAGCCGTGAGTTTCAACCAACTCTCGTGAATCCACCCCGCTTTGCCGAGTTTCAGCAGGAATCACCACAGCCATGCATTTTCGACCAACTCTTGCGAATACACCCTGCTTTGCCGAGGCTCAAGCAGGAATCACCACCGCGGTGCACTGTTGCCGAGTTTCAAGTTTTTCACCTACTTTTTCAGCGAAAAACCTCTGAAAAATTCAAAACATTTCTCATTCATTTCTTCACTCATAAATTTGAATTGCTTTGCACCAACTTTTTCGGTGGAGAATTTCACCAATTTTCTCACCAAAACTGAAATGGTTAACTAGTGTGTTTTATGTTTTTCAGTGATAAAACTGATGAACATCTTTCAACTGTCACCGCAATGTTTCGCCAAAACATCAGGGCAAACATTAAAATCTTCTCACAACTTTTTCTGGTAGGTTTTCTAGTGAGAACATTGGTGAAAGAAGGTTTTGGATTTCGCACAGATTGTTCAGTGGGAAATTTCGAACTTCTGTCTTGTAATATTGTTGAATGTCATTTCACATTTTTCATCATCATTGCATGCACAAAATGTCAAAAGGATATCTTAATGTTTCCATCTGAATTCCTGAATGCTGTTTCACATTTTTCACCTGCGTTCCCTGCGAACAACAATAAGAAAACATTTTGACTTTTTCATCTGTATTAATGTTGAGAAATGTGGTATTATATGTCATATCTTGTTCACCACATTTTTCAGTGAAAAATATTAACAAAAGGCGATGAAAAATGTGTGAAAACATTCTCACTTCATTTCAAGTTTTACACCACCTTTCACTGAAGTTTATCATTCATTTTTTTATCCTTTTCCACATGAAAATTTTGATGAAAAAGGTTTTGGCTTTTTCACCCCCATTCTCACCTATCAATATACATGAATTTTTGGTGAAATAAGTTTTGAATTTTTCACCATCATTCTTGGATGGAAATGTGGTGAAAATAATGGTGTTATTCTTACAGGAAATATCATGAATATTATTTCGCATTTTTCACCTTGGTTTCAAGTGCAAAAAGTACTGAAAATAACTTGAAAATTTTACCTACTTTTTCAGTGAAAAATGTGTGGAAAACCGGCACAGTTTTTCACCAATTTTTTCACTGAAAAACTCGAAATGTTCAACCAGTGCCTACCAAATGTGAGTTTGGACTTGGAATTGGAGAGGGTGCAACCTGTCAAAAAAGTGTAAAAAGTCTCTGCATGAAAGTCGTGTATTTTCAAATTTTAAATCGAATGAGCCCAACATGTTTTTTGGATTTAAGTGGAAGGTGCTCGTCGTCACCTGGTCCGTGCGCCAACGATGTTGAGCACCTTCAGCTAAAGTCGAAAAACAAGTTAGGCTCAATTGATTTAGATTTCGAAGGGGAGCAACTTTCTCTATATAACTTTTTACACTTTTTCTAAGACTCAGGCTCCCGAAATTTCAAGTCCAAACTCATGTTTGGCGGGTCCCGCCAAAATCACGCCCAAATGTTCCAGTTGTTTTAGGAAGCCGCTTGCCTAAGCAAATCAAGTGTAGGTGGTTAGGGAATGCAGTGACCTCGAGTAAAAAAGCACGATAGCGGCCAGTGAATTCGGACGCTGGGAGTCGACCCCAGGTTTCCTGCATCAACCAAAAGAAAAGGAGTAAGTAAAAGCAGGTGTGCACCGTGCACCACGTCCGAGTTCATATCCCTATTTCATTCCAGGATGGGTAGGATTTTTTCAAGAATTCGGATGCCGGGAGTCGAACCCAGGCTTCCCGCCTCGTCTCTGGCTACAAGTAACCTGAGTAAAAAGCACGATAGCGGCCAGTGAATTCAGACGCTGGGAGTCGAACCCAGGCTTCCTGCATCAACTGAAAGGAAAGAAGTAAGTAAAAGCAGGTGTGCACCGTGCACCACATCCGAGCTCCCATTCTTACTCGTACTGTGATACGTGAGGGACTCTTTAAGTTCACCTCGAGTAAAATAATTTCCTGCGGGCGACTCGGACGTTGGGAGTCGAACCCAGGCTTCCCGCCTATACTGTCTTCCTATGTCCTTCTTGAAGAGGAGCGGGTGTGCACCATACACTACGTCCGAGTTGCTATACCCAATTCTCAGCTGGATAGGTAAGTGAGTTTTCAACCTCCAAGTAGAAAAGGAGAATCGAGATTTTCTATTCGGACGCTGGGAGTCGAACCCCGGCTCCCCGCCTCATCCCCGAAGATCGGTTCAAGGAGAGCGGGGGTGCACCGGCACCATACACTACGTCCGAGTCTCTGTCCCGAATTAGCAGCGGGTAAGGAGCAGAGTTTGCGGCACTCACCTTGAGTAAAAGAAAATACTCTCACTGAGGACGGATTCGGACGCCGGGAGTCGAACCCAGGTCTCCCACGTAACCTATTTTAATTTCCGGCCAGGGAGAGTGGGCGTGCACCGTGCACCACATCCGAGCCCCTAGCTCTGGAATCAGGTACAATAAGCAGGGGAATTTCCTAGCGCTTGCCTCGAGCGGAACGAAAAACAACAGACATCGGATGCCTAATTCGAACACTGGGAGTCGAACCCAGGATTCCCGCCTCATGTCCCTCACCGCGATGAATGAAGAGCAGGCGTGCGCCGTGCACCACGTTCGAGTTCCTATCCCTGTTCCGTACTGCGATAAGTGCGGGAGATTTTCAAGCTCACCTCGAGTAAAAAGCACGATAGCAGGCAATGAATTCGGACGCTGGGAGTCGAACCCAGGCTTCCTGCATCAACCAAGAGGAAGATAAGTAAGTAAAAGCAGGTGTGCACCGTGCACCACGTCCGAGTTCCTATGCCTGTTCCTTGCTACGATGAGGGAGGGAGTTTTAAAGCTCACCTCGCCTAGAAAAAAAACTGTATGGGGCCGAATTCGGACGCTGGGAGTCGAACCCAGACTTCCCGCATCAACCGCGTGGAATATACTATTAAGAGCGGGCGTACACCGTGCACCACGTCCGAGTCGATATACCAGATTCGCAGCGGGGCAGGTAAGAGAGTATGTCAGTGGCTCACCTGCAGAAAAAAAGCAGCTTGGGATTACTATTCGGACGCTGGGAGTCGAACCCAGGATTCCCGCCTCATCTCTGAAGACCGGGTCAAGGAGAGCGGAGGTGCGCCGTACACCACGTCCGAGTTTCTATCCCTATTTCGCACTCGCATAAGTGACTTCGCAGCTGGATAAGTAGGGGGATATGGGACAGTGATCGAGGGGGTGGGCGCGTCGTTCGTTCTGCAGGAAATGGAAATAGGAATAACGATTACAGGGATGCGTGTATGCGTGTACTCGGGAGGTACTCGTCTGGCGATATGATAGCGATCCGGAGACCAGAACAGTGATCTTAGGACGTGCGCGCGGAGGAGCCTTGCGCGCGGATACCGGGGCGACTGAGCGGCAGAGCACCGCGACGAAGGAAGCTTGAGTAGCAGTCGGTGCACGCAGAATCGGCGCGGAACAGCGTCATTGGATCTGTGCATCGGAGTCAGCGGCCCGGTAGGACGGGCAGTTATACGGTAACTACGTTACGGCGAGGAACGCGCACAAAAAGAAGGAGGAAGGAAGAAGGACGCAGCGGGGAGAGGAACTGTGCGGTGATATGATATGATAGCGATCGGAGATAAAGACAGTGATCTGCAGGAGCAGCGGAGAGGGCTGAAGGACCGCAGATGGAGGACTGAGAAGCAGACGAACGCGACGAAGTGAGTAGGTGCACGCAGATCGACGGGCACCTACTGATAACCAGGTAATTGGGATCTGCGCATCGACTGGGAGTGACGGACGGTTGTACATAAGTCCGGCCCACATACCGAGGTATGCGCACGCGACATGGGGCCGTAAGGCTGCATTCCCATCTGTCGATCACCGTGAGATGGGAGATGGATTGGAATGGAGCGGACGACATAAACGTGGTGTGGGGAGATTCGTCACTGTGGGGGAAACGTGGTGCGGGGATAATCCGCAGTCAGAGTTGCGTCCAAGCTTGGCAAATGTTGTAATCGGGCTAGTAGGATCCGATATGAATGTATGGATCAGAGAGCCGGCGTGGGGTGCGCGAGGCATTGATAAGGCATTGTCGTCGGGACGGACGTCATGCAGGGACCACAGTCATTGAAGGACGAGTCATCCGTCCTCAGAGAGGATCAGGGACAGGCGCCAGAGGTCCGATATCAGAGGGGCGTGGTGGGCGCGATGCGAGCCCGGTTAGTCAGAGTGATCATCCAGGGGTTGGAGTCCCAGTCATCCCGCAGCTGCGGGGATCATGCGAGCGAGGGAAAGGCGCCAAAGGGGCAGATCGCACGGCCACTGCGCATCTGGCAGGAGTCGGCGACTCGGGAATTGGGATGTCAGCGGGGATAACGGAGGTAGCCCCGAGCGAGCCAGCGGCGGCCGCAAATGGCTAGATACGCCACCGAGCCTGGTGCAGCGCGTCGCGCCACCGCGTCCACAGACCCACAGCGGCTAAACGCGCGTCGAAGAGAGAGAGAGACGAAAATCCAAATCCGGAACAGCTCCCGCGGGATCAATCGCGGAGTCCACGTGGCGTCATAAGTAAAAAATTTGGCGTGTACACCTGGCCGCATGTAACCCGAAATCGCCTCCGCACCTATCGCCTCCTCCGAGCCCCTCGTCACTCTACCCTATCTTCGTTTCCCCCATCGTCTGTGTTTCTATCTACCACCAGGATATCCGCGAGAAAAATGACGGAATACGACTTCTCCCCGGCCGCCTACCAGCGGCACTTCGAGACGCAGGCACGCATCGCGCGCTGGACGCAGAGCACGCACGAGCTGCCCCAGAAGGACCCGCATGCCCCGCCGACCCCCGCATCCGGCGCCTCCGCCGCCCTCCCCCGCGAGAAGGAGCGCCGCCGCACGCGCTCGTCCGACCGCGACCGCGACCGCGAGCGAAGCAGGAGCAGGAAGCGCTCGCCGCCGCCGCCGCTCCCCGTGCCGCCGCGCGAGCGCGACCTCCCCCCGCGCCCGCAGACCGCGCCGCCCCCGCAGATGCCAATGCAGATGCCGATGCAGCACCCGGGCTTGGCGGGTACCCCGCCCCCGTGCAGCCGTTCTACGGCCCCGGCCCCGGATACTACGCCCCCGCGCCGCCCCTACCACCGCTCCAACCGCAGCAGCACCGCCGCTCGCGCTCCTCGTCCCAGGCCCCCGCGCCGCCCCCGCTCAAGTCGCGCGCGCGCAGCTACTCCGTCGCGCCGCCGCCCCAGCCCGTCCTGCCCGGCCCCATGCCCGTGCGCCACGGCTCGTACCCCCGCCCAGCGCGGGCTACCCCCACTCCCGCCGGGGTACACGTACGCCGCGCCCGCGTACGTGCAGCAGCCGCAGCCGATGTACGCCGTGCAGCAGCAGCAGCCGCCTCCGCCGCCGAAGCGCGAGGTGCCGCTGATCAAGCGCCTGTTTCGGCTCGGGAGCGGCGGCGGGGACAAGGGCGGCGGCGGGCTGAGCAGGGAGAGCACGAGCCGGAGTCGGGAGAGTAGCCGCAGCCGCGAGGGCGGGATAGGACAGGGACAGGGACAGGGACGGCAGGCGGACACCGCGGCGGAGCGACACGTATTGAGTGTGGTGCGCTGCATTGTTTCTTTCCCCGCCGAGCTGCGCACGGACGCCTGTGCGCCCCATCTCCGCGTCTCTTCCCGACTGCGCGCCGATGCAGATACATCCTCCCTGCGCCACCCAACTCCCCAACTTACTCCTCCGCATCCCACATCCCTACGCGCGCCCCAAAATCCGAATCCACATCCACATCCACATCCACATCAACCCTCCCGCAAATTCCTACCCGTACACCCGTATAATCCGCATACCTGAACCTCCTACATACTCCTACACCTCCCTACCCCGCTGTATCTCGCTACCTCCGCCTCTGTATATATATCCGCGAATCCTCGTTCCTCGTTCCCTGCACGCACTATTAACGCGTACTCGGGCCCCCCCCGATTCGCCCTCGGCGACTATTAATTTGACAGAATAGAAGAGCGGAAGAGCGGAAATTAAAGACGGGTGACATCGTCTCGTCGGTGCGCGATGGTTTTCTATTCTGAACTAGCTAGCCAAGTACGCATCCAAGCGAACAATTCGGACGTGGTGCACGGCGCACGCCCGCTCTCCTAGCGATGCCTTCTCTGACTGATACGGGGAGTCTGGGTTCGACTCCCAGCGTCCGAACTGGGGGGAAAAGCCACGACTTTTTTTGTCTCGCCGCCGGTGCTGATAATTTTATACTTGGCTTGGTGTGCGGGAAGGGTGAGGACTCGGAGGTGGTGCACGGTGCACGCCCGCTCCCACTTAGATTGACTTTCAGTCTCAATCTTTTTCGACGTCAGCTTAAAAATTCCCTCCCTTATCGCAGTAAGGAACAGGGATAGGACCTCGAATGTGGTGTACGGTGCATGCCTGCTCTCAATGATTATATCTCTGTCATTTGATGCAGGAAGTCTGGGTTCGACTCCCAGCGTCCGAATTGCTCCTTCAGCATGCATTTTACTTTAGGTGAGTGCGGAAACTCCCTCGCTTCCTCCGCTGCGAATTAGATATAGCAACTCGGACGTGGTGCACGGTGCACGCCCGCTCTCGATATAACGTCTGAGATATCGCCATGCTGCGGGGAGTCTGGGTTCGACTCCCAGCGTCCGAACTAAAGGGAACTTGTTCCTGTTTTTTTTGGGGTCCGTGTTCAAGTGTATAAGTTCCCCCGTATTCAACTAGGTACCCGTTCAAGCTAATAACTCGGATGTGGTGCACGGTGCACGCCAGCTCTCCTTACCTTATGAGACTACAAAGTCGATTGTGATACGGGAAGCCTGGGTTCGACTCCCAGCGTCCGACCTAGAAGTAGCCTCTTGCCTTTTGTGTCCGCGTCCAAGCATAGAGTTTTCTCCCGTATTTAACGAGGTAGACGTTCAAGCACGCCTGCTTCTAATGAGTCGCATTGGGCTTTGATGCAGGTACCCTGGGTTCGATTCCCAGCGTCCGAATAAATTCAGTTCCTCTTGTTCGTTTTCCTTCTTTCTGTAATCGCATCCGAGTCGCTCGCGCAGATTTTTTTAACTTTTTTTTCGGATTGCACAGGGGCGCAGGAAGGGAGAATTATCATCGATAGTGTGAAGTTGTTGATGAACATTCAAACCGCCAGGAAAACGCTCTCCTTGTTGGCTTCCGCGGTGAGGCATACAATTTTATTTAGCCGCCGATGGATGAGGGATGGATGCTCGGATGTGGTGTACGGTGCACGCCCGCTTTTTCTGGGCGATGGCCCTTTTCACAATTTCAACAGCGGGAGATCTGGGTTCGACTCTCAGTATTCGAATGAGCGCGAAAAAAAGGCCCTTTTGCTTCCGCGTTCAACTATCAAGCGTATAATCTTCTTCGTATCTAATTAGATACATGTTCAGACTAGGAACTCGGACGTAGTGTACGGCGCACACCCGCTCTGTCTACCGCAAGTGGACTTTCCTACAGTGGAAGGCCTGGGTTCGACTCCCAGCGTCTGAATGTACGGAAGACTCCTTTTTGCGTCCGCGCTCAACAATCGGGCGAACAATTTTGTTCGAATCAGACAAGGTACGCATCCCATCGGATGTGGTGTACGGTGCACAGTCATCGCGCACTGGTGTGCGGAGCCTGGGCTCTACTCCCAGCGTGTATATCGTCTCGGCGCATCCCTGCTCTTGACTTCTCAACCGAGGTATTCGGAGACGCTGTGCAGCGTTCAGGGTGTTTTGTACGTCATAGATTTTTTTCCTCTCTCTCCAAAAAAAAATCTCATTTGATTTATGGTCTGACTATGGGAGACTACTCTCGCTCGCTCTCTAAAAAAAGCTTTTTGTCCCACGGCGGACTGGAATCTCGCACCGGTTGGGCACAGCCTCGAATCAATAAATAAGCGCAAACTTGAAACGTGTTCGTCGACTCCCTTGATCCCCTCCTTCATCCACACGATGGATACAAAACCCGACCGACTCCTTCCGAACGAAATATGGATCGAGGCTTTCCAGCGCATGGACCGCCGCACGTTAAAAGCTCTCAGGATGGTCTGCCGCTCGTTTTCCCGTCTATCGTGGGATGTGATTTTGCGCGATATAACATGGAGCAATTCCTTCAGCACCGGCACGGAGTATTGGGAGCGGAATCCAGCCCATGCTTACCTTCCCCGCGATTTGTTGGTTTCCTTCAAGTTCATAGGGCTCTCCGACAATCGGACACACAATGCTTATCGGTCTCGCATGAGTGGTGAGTGTGCGGTGGTCCGTCATTTCGATGTATTCAAGGGGCAACATTGAACAGACCATGTTGCGCGCATTTTCAACCTCATGCGCCCGTTCACGAACCTTGAGGCGCTGACAATAGATGGCGCGTATATCCCAGCGGATCTGCATGATGTGCTCCGAGACCTCCCCGCCCTCAAACAATTGACTCTGAATTACTGCGCTCTGCCCGTGGCCCTGTCGGAGCTACCTGTCCGAGGGGGCTCTAGGGCACTGAAGCCGCACGCCTTGAACATTACAAGCCTCAAAGTTTCCTTAGTGGACCCTGTCCACCACCCCTTACCAGTCTTGAGCACGGCCCTCTTGCCGTGCGCAGGTCTTTTCTCCCTCCTTCCCCGCCTTCGCACGCTTCACATCGAGCGATGCTTCCTTGCCACCGATTTCTTCGGCTCTGGGATTACATCCCTGACCATCGAAATCCCCCGGCTTATCGACGATGCGCTCCCCTACACATACCTTTGCAAAGTTCTCCAGTCGCTGCCACGACTGAGGTGTCTCACTGCGTCCACATGGAATCAATGCCACGAGGATCCCGATAATCACACTTTCAACCCACACCAGCCCCCTGTAGTAACGGACCCTCCTCCGAGCTTGCCCCACCTCACGCATTACACCGGAACAGCCGATCTGGGTCTGGTTGCGCTTGCCGCGGCTCCCATCATCGAGGATATCCGTGTGCAGGGAAAAAGCGAGCAGATCGTCCAACTTGTCAAATTTTTGCAAGAACGAAATGCGCCGGTGCGCGGCCTTACAGTGGTGCTTCCATTTTGGAGCTACGCGGCCGCCCAGGTCATCTCCCATTACCTCCCGCAATGTGGGCGCCTGGAGATCACATACGCGGGGACCGGCACGCAGGAGCTAGGGAAGGTCGACCTCGCCACCTGCCATAACCTCAAGGACGTCGTTATCAAGCAAGATAGCCATGCGGCTCAAGAACTAATTGAATTCCTGGCAGAACGAAACGCCCCTCTGCGACGAGTTTCAGTGCAGCTCCCAGTTTGGACTCGGAGTACCTCAGTGGTGCGGTCCGTCTTCCGTTGTATACCGCGGTGCGAGCATCTGGAGATCACTACTTCGGCTGACGCGGGGAAACTCGTTCTCTCCGCCTCCTCGCCTTACGCCCTTAACCACGTCATCATCAAACAGGACAGTGAGCGGGCCATGAAGTTTATCGTGCTCCTGCAGGAACGAAACATACCCGTGCAGCGGCTTTCACTAGAGCTCCCATTTTGGAGCACCACGGTTGTACGAGCCGTCTCGCATTGTATACCGCGATGCGAGCACCTCGAGATCACGTATGCGGGAACCGGCACGGCCGAACTGGGGACGTTGGTCCTCTCCGCCTCTCATATTCTCGAGGACATCGTCATAAAACAGGACAGTCAGCGGGCCATCGAAATTATTGAGTTCCTAGAAGAACGCAGTGCCCCCGTGCGGCGCTTGTCGGTGGAGCTTCCGGTGTGGAACACCGCGGTGGTGCGGTCCACCTGTCTTTCCCTCCCACAGTGCGAGCGCCTGGAGATCACGTATGCAAGAGACCAGCCGTCTGAGGTGTGTGCATTCTCAGCCGGGAATTAATCACCATATGCTGATTGTAGACTTTAGGAATCGCTTGTAGAACTTGGGACCGAATTCATCCCTCACCTCGTCCATCTGAGGGAGATCAGTATCCTTCATGTTCCACGAGAAATCGAGCCAAATGTCGACGGGCGCACCGCGGATGGCGCTAAAGAGACTGTGCAGGAGGTGGTATGTGCTTTTCTTCTTTCGAATTCGGTCCAATCGTCCCTCGCGCATGCTAATTGCGAGAGTAGGAATCAGGATCAGAGATCCAGTCGGTCTCCCTGCTTATTGATGACCTGCGAGAGCTGAACGGACTCGATGGTCAATTAACGGTGGAGACAGAAGTCGACAAACGCCACAAGGAACTTATTGAACTCGAAGATGCTGAGGACGAGATGAACCTCAGGGGTATCCTTTATTGTTGGACCCGTTACAACCATAACCTCGCCCTGCAGAGCATATGCCTTTCGGGCAGCGGCCCGACCAAATGGGTGCGCGAACGGGATGGGAATGATGCCAACAAGTGGACCACAACTGTGGTTTAGTATGCGTAGCATCTCTCCAATGTACTTTGAATTTCTTTTACTTGAACTATGTGGTCGTCGTTAACTGAGCGGCGCGTCCACAACTGCCCACAGTACTGTCACAAGATTTTCCGCCCCGTGCTCCAACTCCCGAGTTCGTACACTGAAAGTCTGAAACACGCGGAGCCTCTTACGCCCACGCCCTCCACCGTCTTTTATTGCGTGTCCCGTGAGTTGCGAAGCACATTTTTATGCTGCTTTTACGCGTTCTGGACTATGAAGTTTGCCTGAAGTCATCAACGCTAACGGGCGCGAAACTTGAACTTCCTTTCCGGTACAACCCTGTTAAACTCACATCAGTGGACTCTGGGCGCCTACGTATAGATGAACTTGAAGACTGAAAGCGGCCTTTGCGCGGTTCACGCTCACTGTGGATGGTACAGTTTTACAGCTGGCAGTTCCCGGCCGCATAGGTAATAGCACCCGCTTCCCATATTTTTGATTAAAATACCTCACGTTTCACGTCGTTTTCTAGTGTTTCCTTAGCTAGCATTTACTTCCCCTGCGGAGAAAATGGCACGACCTTACATCTCCGCGCCGCTTTCCGTCCTCGCCAGGCATCAGATCTTACATTAAGATTTAATTTCCCCTGACTTCTCCCGCCCGTGCGGCCACAATGTCACGCAGCTTGCGCGCAAATCAGCTCTTCAACATTCTTGCATAGTTCCAATGTGTTCTGACCACAATTTTATTGCTCACCTGTCTATTTCTGAGATCAATTTATGATTCTCGGAGGCTTCAAACACTCGTCCGACACCCTTTTGGCCTTGAGGGTCCTCTACCCCCCATTCTGTGGTTCCCACACTCTCCTAAGGGCGGGGCCAGAGGATTTTATATACCATACACTCCAAACAAAACCTATAGTAAAATGTTTTATGCCCTCCCCGGGACCCCCCGACCCCGACCCCATATCCGAAATTTTAATCCCGATCCCCCTTGGATTTTACCACCTGCACTGGCGTGGCGGAGGCGGCCGAGAAATACTGGGTGTATTCCACCCTGAATATGTGTCGCATGAAGATGACGTACGCTTGTGTCGAATGTAATTCTCAAGAGCTGACGAGTCGAAAAAGGGAGTCCGTGAAGCAGTATCCGCTCCAGGTGCTTGAATACGCCGTCCGGCACGATCATGCGGACTTGGCGGCTGAGGCAGCGCACCAAAGCATGAGACTGGAGGTCTTCGCGGTCATGGAATTGCTGTCCCCCGATACATTCAAAGCATGGGTCCGCGCACCTCACCTGTAAATCAACATATCAGCTAATTGCCAACCACATTCAACGGATCTCCTTCCGCGAACAATGGCACAACGGCACCTGAGCGCTCTTGGCGGCCTGCGCAAAGGATTCCGATACAAGACGAACAACGACGCGTTGCTGTGGCCGTCGGCTGAGTGCATCCAGGATGACAATCCGTGGTATAATTAATATGCGCAGCCAGGTCGAAAACATCCTCACGCATAGTGCAGACTATACGCAGCGCGAAGCCCAAAGGAAGTCGTTGGAGAGCAGGTTTGGGGACAACTAGGGAGTAGATAATTTTCTAGTAGGTCTAGGGTCCGCTTCCTTTTCCGCAAGGGTGGCGTTGAGAAATGTGCTCAACCCGTTCTGGCGGATACAAGTTCAAAAATTCGATGACTCACCTACGCAAAATGCTCCGCAACACAGTCGCGGCTCGGATTCATGCTGTGCGCAGTGGCTCACATCTCGAGGGCCTTTCTCGGGTTTACAGGAAATGTGACGGGCGAGATTGATACTTTGATCAGTTCAGGATTGTCTGCATGGAATCCGAAGAGCATTGCAGACACCCAATTAAAAAAATATATACGTCTATAAGGGGTTTGTGGGCCTGCACCGTTGGTATCGTCCTCAATTTCCAAGTCCGAGTCCGAGTCCTT